AACATCTACAAATCAATTAACAGGCGCTATCTGCACACCAGCCATCAGTACTCATATAACAACAATCAGTAATCATAAATCAACAGTCAGTGTTCACATAGCGACAGTCAGTAGCCATCAAAGGATGCCCAGTACTCAGCAGCAGTAATTCTTAAACAATGCTCTGTACTGATAAACAGCCAGTGTTCATAAATCACTTCCATATTTGACCAACACAAACAACTTGGTACACAACTTGGAAAACTGGCATCTCATTTTGAAAAGTGCTTCTGTTTTGACAGCGCAGACCAAAATAACAAATGGGGGTGTGTATTTCTGCTGCTTAACAGGACACATAAATCCTCCCAGGACACTAAAGAGCAGATCGGAGCAGTCATTCCGACAGGCATGCGGGGAGGATCTCAAAGTTAATTTCACGTGCATTATGAAAGCGGAGGCTCATCAGATAGGTGTACCACCGCTCGCGGTCTCGATAACAAAGAGCCGGAACTGCGGCGGGCGGTGGGGGGAGCGGGCACATCGCCAGCAATCAATGCCAGGCCTCCCAGCACCACCTGACAATGTCACTAAATGGACACGAGGGGAGGAGGAATCACCTGGAATGAGACAGCCACAGGACCCCCCCCTCCAGCCAAAAACACATCCCCGTCCCACAGACTTGAGCTGCTGATTCAAGGCTATTTGGGTAGCTACTCCGCTGCTTACTGGACCAGGTGGCTCAGCCACCCCAGGTCCACAGCCATACAGCACACTGTGAGGCCCAGCAGGGAAGTCCGAGATAAGACTGTTGCAGAACGGTGTTCTAAAGACGAAACATTGCAGGAAATAAATGAAGCTTCATGTGCCATTATCACAAGCACAGGTGCATTGGAATATGCTGTCCTTGTAATGAAAAACATACACGACTGAGAGCAAAGCTTGGAGTCTGAGCACAGGGTCAAACATTTACCCGACACCCCTGGAGCATTTTTGGCAGGGTTAAGGGCCTCGCTCAAGGGCCCAGCAGAGACGTGACTATTCTGCGAAGAATGGGATTTGAACTGGCGACCTACTGATTGCAGGCACTGAGGTCTAACCCGCTGAGCCTTGTTCTTGTAACGTTATCCTACCATTCCCACATCTGCTAGTCCTCCATGTCCTCAGTGGAATGTTTGTGTGGCCAGTTTAGCACCCTGGGTAGAGAGGGATCCATCCTTGTGCGTGTGCATGTGACAAAAGGAACATGGGGCATGTCCTGGCGCCCGGTCTGGCCCCAGCGCCAGGCGTGCCGGCTCAGGAAGGGGCTCCATCTGGCCGCAAATCCACGCGCTGTGGGACTTGCAAAGCCACATCCTCCGGGGAGGAAGGGGGTGTAATTAGAGCCATCCGTCCACTCTGACCAGTTCTCCCCATTACACGCTGTTTAGCTCCCTAATTATCCCCCCGCTCCGGTCAATTAGCGGCCAATGCGGGACCTGTGCGTGCCGCTGCCAGCTGGGCTTAAGGTTTCAGTGCCGAGCAGGAAGCACAGGGCTGTCGCCATAACGGCAGGACACATAAAACTCCATCGACAGGACACGGCGAGGCACCGACCAGGACACATAAAACTACAGACCTGCTGCTGCTGGGATGACTGGTTCGGACTGGTTTGGACCGGCTATGTCCCCGGGAGAAGGGATGCCCAGAGCCCCAAACTGATACATTACCATAACATACGGCGCTGGCTTTGCATAAAAACATCCACACATGTAGCCACGGAGATGCAGGCCTGCTGCTGTCAGTGGAAATAATCCAGCAGTCAGCCTGAAGTCGGAATGAAATCAGGCCTCACTGTCAAGGGCACCTGCTTCCCATTTGTCTGGAAGCTCTGCAAGGCATACGTCACGCACTCTCACCGCACCTTCGAGCCAGCCCCACATGGACGTGCCCCAGCCCATAGATTCCTCTTTGGTTCCGCTGACAGTGATGAGAGGGTGCAACTGCCAGAGGATGGGGCCGTCAGAGGGGGTCTAGGGCTAGCTACGGGACCAGGAGGATGGGGCCCTCAGAGGGGGGCTAGGGCTAGCCACGGGGCCAGGAGGATGGGGCCCTCAGAGGGGGGCTAGGGCTAGCCACAGGGCCAGGAGGATGGGGCCCTCAGAGGGG